GGTATAAGCAGATATATCGTTGACAGTCAAATACATCAGGCCTATAAATACAACGCTTAACTGGTTGCAAATATATGAATTAAACGAACATTTCTTCTTTTTAGGTGGACATTGGAAGTGCACTTGCTTGTACAAACGAACAAGGTACATACGTAGCATCCGGAATATTCGCATGGGATAGCGGCTGCAAACAGGAAGGCCAAATTGGAGGTTATGTCGCCACAGATACACCTTGGGTTGAAGAAATCCTGAAAAAATCTCTGAAAGAGTTAAGAAAATTAGATAGAGAATTTTTGCTCAATAACAGGAAGTAGATGAAAAATGTTAGACATAAAAAAGAGAAATTATTAATATAAATAGTTGTTTTTAGAAGTAAAATTTACTGGAATTGAAGATAAAGAGACCTAAATTTTTAGAAAGTCGCGCCTGTAGTGGTGTAAATGAAACTAAGAATATATCAAACATAAAATCCAGAGTTTCAATACCTGAAGGTTATATGAGTACAAATAAAATGAAAATATATTTTTTAATAAATTTTAAAAATAAACAGTAGTCAGTAATTAAGAATCTATAAAACATAACCATTCAGAGGTGCTCTCTTATATTACTGTAAATTTTGTTGTTAAATGTAAATACTTATTAAAAACATGTGATAAATGTTAACAAACTTCAGACTACTTTATTTATTTTAAGAGTTATTTAGAATGCCAGTAATTTTTTGTATATTTGTTTTTTTTTTGTATTATTTAATGTATAACAAAAACTGCCATATGTAAATTTCTCGCTATACTTATTAAGTTTATGTAATGTGTCAAAATGGATGACACGCAATACTCATTTTTGTACTACTACTATTGAAAAAGAATTTAGCCTAATATATATTATATGAAAAATAAAATAGATGTTAAATGTAAAATATAATAAATAATAGGTACCTATGAAGGTTGTTTTTGTTTTGTTTCATGGTTTCCTCTGACTAATTTTTACGTGTGTTTTACTCATACATTATACAAACGGTAGATAAAACATTGCGCATGATCCCACTTCGAAACTATTCGCACCGACCAATCACAGTTGAGTACGTCATAATAAGTCACCTGTCAGAGTGTTCATACAAATTTAATTCAAATCTATTGTGTTGACGAGAATTAATTTGATATTTTAGTAACTTAAATTGTGGAAAATATCAAGGTGTGTTGTAAAAAGCTGTATTTATTATAAAAGTGCAAAGTGTGACGCTGATAAAGGAAACCTACATTTATTTCGGTAATGTATTTATTTTGTAAGGTTTCGTTAACGGCCATTTGTTTATTTAAAAATAAACAGAACCAGCGTTGGCCATTAGAACATGTTACAAATTGCAAATGTGAAAACTTAAATAAATGTTTTTATTGTAAACTACTTACTATTTCTTGTTTTATTGGGATTCTTTTTTTTTTTTTTCAGGAAGTGGAAAGAGTAATATACAATCAAATACAAAAATATCAATCTATTCTGTAAACTGGATAATCACTTTAAAGACCATTGCGCGTTAAGTTGCTGCTATCGTAATCTAATAAAGTTAGAAGCATCCATCTACATCACAGTTATAATTCATTATAACAATAAAAATATATTAGTGCGAGCAGGAAACGAATAATATCAACGTGGGCGTGTTCGCTGTTCGATGGGAGTAGGCATACGCTGTCGGCTGGCTATCGGAAAGCGTTCAATAACCGACACTCGAAGCTGGGCAGAGTACTACATTAAAGTAATTGTGAAAAATTGAGAAACGAGTATGAATATTTTAAATAATTCTAGTTAGTGACTTCAACTTACTTTGTTAAATACATAAAACAAAACCAATGCTAAGGGAATTAAAATTTTTTGAATTTTACAACTTTGTTGCTTGATTATGGATTTCCAAGAGATGCACAAATTTTCATATTTTTTTTTTTGTAAAACTAATGTTTCCATATGCTACATTTCTTAATTTGCGAATATTTTTTTGTCATCATCTGTTAAAGTTTTGTTCTTAAATTCCTTCACTATTTCAGGCCAAGTTTTATAATATTACTTGTGTCTACTTTTCAAAATAAGAAATCCATTTTTTAACTCAAAACTCTGACCATAGGCATTGTCCAAAACAACAGAAAATGATTTAGAAAATATTTTTCTATGTTTTATTGAGAAAACTTACCAAATCTATTTAAATATGTTAAAAAAAATTGGTAGGAAAAATATTCAAATACTTAATAAAATAAATTTGAAAAACTATTTCGAGGAAAAACATAAAATCGAATCTATTTAGAAAAATCTTATCTTATCTTAGTATAGGTAAACAGGTATATTACCTGCATTATCAACTAAAATGTAAGATATTCGATATTCGATATAAAGATCATCTTTATTTTAAATATTAGTATTCCAGTGCAATTGCCAGTACCTATTGTTAACCAAGCAACTGTGTAATCTTTAAAAACATTTGGTGAGTATTATAGACATAATATTATTTAAGCTAAACTCGAATTAACGTCAATAATTTAACTGCTAGCTACGTAGCTAATAGTTTTTTTTTCACTACTAGCTTTAGACGCTTACTTTATTGACTGATTTTCAGGTAGAAAAGTGGTTCATTATTAACCTAGGGAGAGAATGCGCTAGTTCAGTGATGATGTAATTATGGTTCCACTGACAATTAAAGTGACAGTAGATTTTTTGAGTGCGTTTTGTTCGTTTTGTTTACCTATATTATATCGATTTTTTCACTTTTATAAATATATTCCTAAAGTAAGTAGATAGCATGTATCAAATATACAATCGTTTAGTTACCAATTACATACCTTTAAACTATTTTTTATGACCTGTAAACAATATTTTGAAATAAAATAAAAACAGTAAAAACGTATATGTCAAATTTATTGATGTTTTTGTTAAAAGTTTGGTTAGAATTAAATGTCAGTGGAACCAAAATGACATCACACTGAACTAGCGCATTACAGAACCTACCTGATAACTATATACCTACTGTATTTTATGTAAATGATATCAGTTCATATTTTGACAGTTTTTGAGGTTAACTGAAATGCTCAAATGCAAATACAAAATGTAAAAATATTTTACTTACTTATTTAATGGTCATATCCACTATTCAAATAAAACCAATTCACTTTCAGATTTCATTCCACATTTTCATAAATATATAAAAGAGTTTTCAAATCAAAATAAAAATAAATCGATAAATAAATGGGTAACTTGTTGCCAAGGTTGTTCTTGTCACACCGGTAGAACGGGAGTGACTGGTGACCCGTTCAAGATCCGGACGACATTATAAATTCAAAATTCAAATTTTATCAAAACTTTTAATTTTGTGACTAACTTGACCACCAGCAAAAAAAATTTCATTTAATTCTACGTATAAACTGTAAATTCTATAGGTACTAAACGGACGTTTGTGTTTTACATTTAATTGTCACAAGCATGGATGATTTGATTTGAAAAAAAGTTTGAAATCGTTTTTATTAGTTTTAAAAACTTAATTTTTTTTAATTAAAATGCTAGTAGTGAAAAAAATAGTATATGAGCCACGGAGAAGTGAGTTATTTTGTCTCGCATCCATTAAAGACCTCGACAAAATAACTCACTCCTCTACCTTGGCGCATAATATAAATATAAATATATATAAATAAATATATATAAATAAATATATATAAATAAATATATATAAATAAATATATATAAATAAATATATATAAATAAATATATATAAATAAATATATATAAATATAAATGGTTTTTATTGGATAAATTGAATTTGCCGGTTTACATATCGTGTCTTGTGCTGATCATAAAAATCGGCTACAATATAAACATGTCAATGCGTATCAAAGAAGCAGCCAAAAAGCTGACAAGACCGCAGTGACACTAAGCAGAACAATGCCAAATTTAGGAGGTCAAAAGAGGGAAAACGGAGGGTTCTTAGCAGCATAGTAAGTTTCATCTTAAAATACAGATATATGAAAAATATAGAAGAACGCTAGAATGCCATTCAGGTGATAATAAAACATTAAGTCGAAAGAAAATATGGGGAGACAGGCTACTATCTCACCCAATTCATATCCGGGCATGGACGATTCAACAGCTATCTACATAGAATGAAACTGGCAAATAGTGAAAACTGCAGGTACTGTAGAAACCCGGACACACCCCAACATACTGTACTAGATTGTACGAACTGGAACACTTATAGAGAAGAAGCAACAGATGCGACACAGGAACCAATCACCGCAAACAATATACGACATATGCTACAAAGCGAGAAGGAACGGACAGCGATAAATAACATGATAATGAAACGATCCGCAAAATTAAAGAACACGGCAGAAATAAAATACGGAGACGCCCACAACATCCCATAAGCCATCTTCCTTGAAGTAATACTAGGCAGGTAGTTCCAAGGAAGATTTCGACAAAGGCTCCAGAGTGGATTTTAATCGGCAAAAATCCGACACTACCTAGTCATTTGGCTGCTAGATGTTTTTGAAAATTTTTATCTCTCAAAAAAAAATGGTTAGAGGTATATTAAAAATATGTCAGTGTTAATGCAGCATGTGGACGGAATATATCTTATGCCTTAGTGACACATGCGCCATCTCATGGAAACTATCTCAATTAATTTCGTGACAGTCTTGTGGTATGAAACTTCATCAAATTTCAAGTAACATGTGTTTTAAGAAAATTTGTATTTTTTGAGATTAGTCACTATTGTCACCGGTGAGCGATATATTTTTGGGATACGAAACTTTTTTTAATGCAAATTTTCGTTATCTTTGGTAGGCCATTAATACAAGTGCCTAATCTTTATTTCAATATTCAGTCGATTTTTTTAAGTTTCTTACATCATTTTCGAATTATAAATATGATTCGGGCACATTTCATGGACTGAATATCTTTATTGGAGTTAAACTTCTTATTGTACCTATTATTCTATTGTGTATAATAAATTAGGATTATTTTGTAGATCGATGGATAAAGCAACTTATCCAAAATTGAAAGGCTCAGCAGGTTCACATGGGGTCGTCTATCAAGTTAAACTACTTCAATTTTATCTACTTCAGAGTAAGCACAAAGATGAGGATTTTAAATTGTCTACAGAAAATACAGATGCTGCCAAGTTTGATGATGTCGTTTATGAGACTGAAAAGGCTACCATTTTACTTCAATCAAAACATTTTCAGACACAAAATCAAATTAGTTTTGACAATTTATTCCCAAAAAAATCAGAAACAGAACAATCGAGTAAACCAAAAGGTGATTTCCAACAAAATTCAAACGATTCCAAAGATGGAGGTTCTTTTAATTTGTTCAAATATTTAAAAGAATTTCAAAATATTAACAAAGACAATTTTATTAGTGACAACATTCAAAATGTCATTATTTGTACAAATTGTGAATTTCTCTTACAGCGTATAAATCGATCCCTATGTAATAAAATGAATATTAAAAATAATGAAAATTTTGAATTTCTTACAGAACAATTTTCGATTTTTTCTATTAGAAATTCAAAATGTTACTCTTTCAATACAAAAAATCAGCATATTCTTGTCGAATACATTTCTAAAAATGTGCATGATATTTCCGAAGTTGTAGTCAGATTATTTTTAGATAAATTACTACTAGTATCAATATTTGATAAGGATTTAGATTACCAAATACAATATTTAATTGAACAAATGAATATAAAAGATGAATATATTTCTGTAAAATTAATTCAGTCTAGTATTTTTGACAAAATGAAAATATGGTTCGAATCCCCACCAAAGGGAACTTATCTTAGAAAAACCAACATCATAGAATATATATCTCATATCAAATGTACAAATTATATAAATCGTAAAATAAAAGCTTTATCTGTATTATTGGACAATACTGCAAATAAAGATGATACTTATTTTAATTTATTTAAAAATAATTTAATTTTAATTAAAATTGTAAATAATAAAACGTATGATTTGCACGAGTTCAAAATTTGTCAACTTCTATTAGAGTATTTTATATCTAAAAACAAACCGAAAGAAGCAAACAAAGCAAACAAAGCGAACAAACATGAATTGCTAGACAAAATGTTATTTGTAGATCCACATGCACCATCAAACATTGTCAAAAATATAATCAATTCGTTTGAAGTACCGGAATATACTTGTTTAATTGTCCCGATTTTTGATAACTTCCAAAAATTTTCAGATATTAAAAGTGAGTTAGGCAACGCTATTGAAAAAAATAAGTCATATAAAAAAATTATTATTATTATCTCTGATATATTAGACGAGAAAAATAAATTGTATGAGTTTTTTCAAAATTTTACACCTATTGAATCAAATATTAAATTAAGTGATTTTTCTGCAAATATTCAGAATACAGTTCTTCAAACAGACATTAAATTTCAAGGAAACGAAATACCTTTACAAAACGTGATTGAAATGAAAAACGAGGTAGTGAAATGGGATAATATTATTGATGAAAATACTTTATTAAAATTGGCAATTGGCAAAGAAAAGTTAATAGTTAATGACTTTAAAAATTATGAAGAACTTCCATTTTATGTTAAAAGAAACTTTTTTAAAATTGACAAACAGAAATTTACTGAATATTTTGAATATTCAAATCAATGGGTTGATTCGATTAGACACAATACTGAATCTGACGAAAAAGATTTCTGTTCAAAAGTTATTAGCCAATGTAATAAATTTATTGCAATTTTTGATTCTCCAGGAATGGGAAAATCAACTATTCTAAATAGATTAGCTTATTTGCTTCGTAAAACAACTCATTGGATTTTAAAAATAAACTTGAATGAATGTACTAATATTTTGTACAAACTTTCCAATGAAAAGCGTGAATCTGTAACATTAGATGAATTATTAGACTTACTCGACTATCCAAAGAAAACTAAATTTGAAGAAAACCTTTTTAATATCCCTAAAAACGTAATTTTATTAGTAGACGCTCTAGATGAAATTTGTCCAGAATATTCTAACTTGATTCTAAATTCACTGATCTCCACAGCCAGTAGCAAAAATATTAAAAAAATAGTTCTGACTTCTAGGCCACACGTTTTAACAAAATTAGAACATAAAAATATCGAGTGTGACATGTATGCTCTGAAACAATTTTCTGTCGAAGAAAGAATTACATTTCTTGCTAATTTTTGGTGCAAGAAATTAAATAAGCAACATGATGAAACTAAGTTGGACAAAATAAAAAAGTTTGCAAATAAATTACATGGTACTTTAATGAGTAATAAAGGATGGTACAAAGTTCAGAGTCTTATAGGTATACCTTTACAAATTAAGATGATTGGTGATATTTTTACGGTTCAATGTAATCATTTTTTGGAAAACTTCGAAAGCCATATAGAATTACCTGAGGAATTTAATCTAAATTGGTTGTATAAAGAGTTTATTAATCGACAAAAACAGATTTATATAGATGAAAAATGTAATGCATCTGGAATTACAGCTACAATTAAAGTTTTAGATAAATCATTTAATGAAGCGATTAACGACTACAAAAGGGAAGCGATCAAATTAGAGTTTCTACCAAAAATCCATCGGTATTTTGAGATACTTTCGTCATCTAAAAGTTGCGATGAAGATGATTTACTAAAAATGGGAATTCTAATTAAATCCAATAAAATCCTTTATTTCGCTCATAGAACTCTGTCGGAATATTTTGCTACGCTGCATATTTGCGAACTAATATTGGAAAATAAACTATCCAAAGCATTTCTAAGATTTCTAATAACTGGGAGTAAATTTTTGAAGAATAATTCGTTTATATATCATATGCTAGTAGATCATTCAATACCTGAGCAAATTTTACTATGTATATTCTATTCAACTGATAGTTTAAAGAATTGTGTAGGCCAGAACTTAATTAGGCTTTTTATTCGGAAACTCGGTTACGAAAAATTATTTAGGAGCTTGCCGTTAATCGAATTAGAAAGGGTTCATGAAATGCTTGAAACTAATTTAGGCATTGACAACTATTTAGAGATTCTTAATGATTTAGAAAACGTTAATCTTAGAACAATAAATAACATAACACCACTGCACTTAGCATGCAAATATAATTCTATAGAAATTATGGACCTACTAATAACTAAAGGACTTTCCGTTAAGGTTCTTGACGGATATGGGAGGTCGCCTTTATATTACGCCGTCAAAAGAAACAAAGATATTTTAGAGTTCTTATTTAAAAAAGGGCATCCCGTTGACATTATGGATAATTTTGGAGCAACGCCCTTACACTATGCAGTTCAATCGAGTAGTAACACAATTATTGATTTTTTGTTGAATAATAGAGATCCCACTGAAGTTAGGGATAATGTTGGACGAACGCCATTACACTATGCAGTTCAATCGGGTAATAAAAAAGCTATCGACTTCTTGTTGAGTAAAGGACTTTCCGTTGAAATTAAGGATAATATTGGAAGAACGCCGTTACACTACGCAGTTCGAATTGATAATTACAGAATTATTAAAGTGTTGTTGAATGAAGGCCATTCCCTTGAAATTAGAGATAATTTTGGAAGAACACCATTACATTATGCAGTTCTATCAAACAATAAAAAAACTAATGACTTCTTGAATATAAATTTCCTCATTGAGGTCTTATTGGAAAACGGGCATCCACTACATATAACTGATTATGCGGGAAGAACGCCATTACACTATGCAGCTATATTGAATTATAATGAAATTGTAAAGTTCTTGTTAAATAAAGAGCATTCTATAGATATAATCGATATTTTTGGAAAGACGCCATTACATTATCAAAATGAATCATGTTTCAATGACACTGAAGATTTCTTGTTGGAAAAAATATATTACGTTGATATCCCTGATGAGAATGGAAAAACACCATTACACTATAAAATCGAATTGAATCAGAACGATACCGTAAATTTATCGATAAATGAAGGACTTCCCTCTTATATTGGTGACGTGTATGGAAGAACGCAATTACACTTTGCAGCTAAATTTGGTAGAACTGATTTTATACAGTCACTGTTGAATAAGGGTTATCCGGTTGGTATTCGTGATGAGGCTGGAAAAACTCCTTTACACTATGCACTTGAATCGAAACAAGACTACTATACTATAGAGTTTTTGTTAAAAAAAAAACATCCCGTTGAAATTAATGATGAAGATGGAGTAACTCCATTACACATTGCAGCAAAATTTTGTAAAACTGAAATTTTAGATTTATTGATAAATAAAGGACATTCCATAGATTCGCGTGATATGATTGAAAAAACTCCTTTACATTATGCACTTGAATCGGAACAGGACGATACTGTAGATTTTTTGTTAAATACAGGACATCCCGTTGATATTTGTGATAGAAATGGAGTAACCCCGTTACATATGGCAGTGAAGTATGGTAAAACTAAAATTGTAGATGTCTTGTTAAATAAAGTCCATAATATCGATATTAATAATAAAGATGGAGCAACTCTATTACACGTTGCGGCTAAATTTGGTAAAACTGATATTATAGATTTATTTTTAGAAAAAGGATTATCCATTGACATTCGTGATTGGATGAAAAAAACTCCTTTACACTATGCACTTGAATCAGAGCAGGACGGTACTGTAGATTTCTTATTAAATAAAGGACACCCTTTTGATATTAGTGATGAAAATGGAGTAACTCCATTGCACATTGCAGCTAGATTTGGTAAGACTAAAATTGTAGATTTATTGTTAAATAAAGGCCATTCTGTTGAGATTGGTGATAAAAATGGAATCACTCCATTGCACATTGCAACTAGATTTGGTTATGTTGAAATTATAGATTTATTGCTAAATAAAGGACACACTGTCGATATTGCTGATAATAATGGACTAACTCCCTTGCACATTGCAACCAGATTTAATAAAACTGAAGTTATAACATTATTATTAAAAAAAGGACATTCCACTGATTCTCTTGATATATATGCAAACACTCCTTTCGACTATGCACGTGAATCGAATCAAAATAATAATGTTTTAGATTTCTTGTTAAATGAAGGAGATACCTTCGTTGGTAGTCTTGATTTAGATAGAAATATACCATTTAACTATGGTTATACAGTGTTTCTTTCCTGATGGAAACAAAAAGGAGTGGACTGTATTTTATGGTAATCGATTCGTTGCTGCGCTTAATTAAGTAGTTTTTCCTGATTAGAAAATCTGTGAGATAATAAATTTAACTTACTAACATAGATGGGATCATAACATACCGTAAGAAAACACTATGACACTGCTAATTCTAGTATTTCGTTTACTTACTTCCCAGATAACAATTATACATTCTTAGTATATACTTTTTAAGAATATGCATATGCTGAGAATATACTATATTTGCATTGAGAATATTCTCAGAACATACTAAGTATATTACAGGACTTTGTTTGTACGTGCTATGCAAATACTGAGAATGTACTAAAGTATGTGTATAGTACTACTAAAAAACCGGTACAGGTACAAGATATTTAGACTTTGTTGCACTATGCTTGTTTGACTTCCTACTTAATTCAATCTCCTAAATTCGATTTTTAAAACTTATATTAAAACATTGGGATCTAAGGAAATAGATAAAATTATTTAAAATGAATAAGAAAAAAAAATGTTAATAATCAAAATAAAATAAACGCAATAAACCAAAGTAGGGCAGAGAACATTATCTACATTTATAGGTCTAGTGTAGAGAACATTATGTAAAATATTTTTAAATCATCGATGTACCCCATGCTCAACCTTTATGGTCTTAATGGGTTACACAGATGAAACATTTTAAATTAGTGTCATGTATTTGAACAACATATTCTGTTTATTTAGTCGTATTACTGTTTGATTTATGTATGATAAAAAAATGTAAATTATTCTACTCCTAAATAAACATTATTATTAGTATGCAATAAGTATCTACTTTCACTTGATAGTAAGTATATGTTAACTATTTAAGTTTAGCATATACTAGGTATATAAAAGGTGTTTTGTTTAGATTTGGTAGAACTTTACATGACAACATAAAAAATAAAAGGTAGGATATCAACTGTGTTAAAAATAGGACGCCCATGCGCATGACGTCACGTGTTGAGTTTGTAGAGGCGCGCTTTTAGAAATACTTTCGAAGTGTGAGGAAAATATATGCTTTACAGAAATTTCATGAATATTAAAGGATAAATATTTTAGAAATTACATGAAATATCTAAGGATATTATTATGGGATAGTTGAGAAAAGAGCTATGAAAGAAAATAAATGCAAATATATACATAAAAGAAATATTTATTTTAAGTAACAGTTTTTTTTTTCTTTTTAATAATTTATTTTTGTTATACAAGTTAGAATGCAGGTTTTTAATTTTAAAGGACACTTGACTTCTAAAGAATAGTTTCTATAATCAGGATAATAATAAAGGTATCTTCGCCTGGGGACCCTGGGTAAAAATTTCGCATCTGTGGACGTCGGAAATTTTTAAATGATTAGGATTCGCACCTGGTGACCCATTTACCTAGATCTGTATTATTTTACTGGATAGGATATAGGCTATATTGAAAATGACCGATTTGAGCAAATTATGGTGGGATAATTTGACATGTCTAACCTATAATTTGATTAGTTTTTCTTCTATTCATTTTGCCGACAATGTCCTTCGAGACAATTCATCCATAATTTTGATTTTTTATTAAAGAAAATATAAAAATGGAAACGTGAAGCATATTGTATCTTCATGAATGAACGTTTATTGTTTATATCATAGTATTGCTAACCGATACTATCTACATAAATAGCAGATAAATGATCCGTTCTAAAGTAAATGAAAATTCTTAAAACTGCACTAGGAATTTTTTATACAACTAAAAGGAGATATTGGTAATAGAAATAACAGCCTCGAGTTAGAACTACATAGGTGCTCGAATCACTTTAGGGAACAAGTATGAAACGAGAATCGATGGGTTTGCCATTGTTACAATAGAACCAGGAAGAACAGGGATATAAATATGGTTAAAAGATGTAGATACAACTAAAGCGATAAGAATTGGAACTGATCTAGTGGTGTTTTTAGACACATGATTTACATTAAGAGTTTTGCAAGATAATGTAGGTAGGTAGTTTATAATTGCAAAGTTAATTTTAACAATGTTGAAATATATTTTAAATTACCTACACTTGTCTAAGATAGCTAACAAAATTTACTAATTATTAGTTATTACAACTGATAGAAATTTTAATTAACATTTCTAACTCTTTCAGGTTAATACATGGTCTTTTTGTTGTCTCTCTGATAATTTATACACTATACAAATTACATGGAAATTAGTGCAACTCATAAATATATGCATTAAAAAATTGTTCTAGGAAAATACTGTTATGACTTAAATTTTGTGTAGACTATTCGAATGTAATTTACAATTAAATAAAGAACAAATTTAAAGGCTTTACATAATTTTTACAATTATGCAAATATTGATTTATATATATATATATTTCAAATGAAGAAGGATATAAAGTAATATTTTTAAATGAATTACCAACATAGTCTTCGTTTGTGTTTTATCAATGCAGGATAGCTCAAAATGATTTGAACGTAATCGCATTCCTGCACTTACAACATTAAAATTGTTCATATCCATACTCTTCAGCCAATTTCCCAAAAGCTCCAATTCTGTAGGAAACCTCAAATAACAAGAACATTATTTAATTTAGTAATATTCGTTATAATGCACTTCAATTTTCTCATTTAATCAAAAATGTTATTTGTATTCTTGTATGCTTGCATAATAATGTGTAAATTAGTAATTGTTTCAGTTTGTTTCGACAAAATAGTTAGATCTATTAACAAATTATTATAAATATAATAGTTTTATTTACCCATGAAGAGTACGGATACTCTTATTACTTTGTTTTCCACAATAAAAACACGTCTTCATCGTAACTTGTTGACATAATTAAATTATAAATGTGATGACAAATGAAAATAGAGGTCATGTTAAATAACATCTGGTCCGACATTATTTGCCCAAACCGGCCAATTTTTCGGAAAGTTTTTTAGGGGGCTATATCCTATCCAATAAAATAATACAGATCAGTGTATATTACTCAAATATACTTGAACTACTTTTTTATGAAAAAAAAAAAATGGAATTGATAAGTATATTATAAGTATAATATAAGTATAATATAAGTATAATATAAATATAAATATAATATAAATATAATATAAGTATAATATAAATATAATATAAGTATAATATAAGTATAATATAAGTAAGATACCAAAAATAGGTTTTTAAAAACTATTTTTCATACATATAATATAATTCAGAGCATAAAAATAATGTACCAAATACGAATAACATACTGGCTAACCGACCGCCGGCGGTGCTTGCATTTGTTGAAAAGAAAACCGTCTTCCGGCGGCATGGTCTCCTTCATACAGGAAAGCCGCCGCAAATCTAAACTGATTTGTTGATCAGGGCGGCATGGTATTGGTGAATTGAAAATTGCCGCCGGACGACGGCCTACTGTATTTAAAACATTGAATGCCGGTGATAAGAAAAAATACTTGTAAAATCGTCTACATTTTTGTGGCAAATGATCATATGTCGTACGCGTTTTATTAGTACATCGGTCTCCTTTTGACAGAGTAGATGAGCTGTGCCCAGGCCGTTAGTGTTTATGCCAGTCGGCGTAGCCAGGAATTGATTGAAATTTTAAGGTGAAGAAGTCGTTACTTCGTCTTGTTGTCACGGCATTATTATTATTTGTTCATGTATGTGAAATTTGCTCCTAAGGTTTATTAAATACTACAGCTAGTCACGGCGTAAATGAAAACAAACAAGACGCATTCACCCAAATACCTCCCACCACAGCAATTACAAATGGATTAGTGTTGTATCCGATACGCGAGTTTTTTCCGGTGGCATTTAATGTTTCAAATACAGAAAACCGTCGTCCGGCGGCCTTATCAATACTCTGATAGCCTGCCGCCCTCATCAACAAATCAGTTTAGATTTTCAGCGGCTTTCTTATATGTGAGAAGACCATGCCGCCGGAAGACGGTTTTCGTTTTACTAAATTCAACTACCGCCGGCGGTCGGCTAGCCAGTAAGTACAAATAACTGCTACATGGTGGGTGTATACACAAGATTAAAATAAAACGCCACGCATTTTTCCTGGACATAGTCACTGACAGTTTTTTAAGTACAACATATTGAAATTTTCTTATATATAATATATACAATTTCATTTGCTGTATATTGCGAAATGTTCAGCCTTCAAAGAGTAGAAATCCCAGTTAAAAATTTCTGAGATGCAAATGAATCAACGTGAAGTTCTGCTTTGAGGTCCCGTCCAATTGGAAGGTTAAAAGTGCTTGGAACACACATGACAATTTTCTGTTTTAAATTTATCTGCACGGCCACAGGCCACGGCAACGTCGAATGTTTGGGGGGGGTTGCATTGCCTACAACAATTCCCTTTATAGCTTATTTTTTTAATAAAAGGCTCATGGAATGTAAGAATTTTAATCCAGACGGACCCCCCACTGGAGTAGCCCTGTGGCCACTTCTGACTAACCTCTTACTGTCGAGGAAAGCAAAAAAACAATGTCTTTTTTTAAATCCTTTGTTTTGTTTGTTACTGTTATATCTGTAACATTATAACATAATATAATGCAAATATCAGCTTAAAATGTTAAAAATCACTATAAACGACTTACAAACCACTACAACGTACATCGTCATGTGATATTTACTTCGCACCAACTCTACGCATGACGTCAGCGCCGCCATGATACCATGCGCGATATCCCCCCCTGCATTTTCAATATACTTTGGCAAATCATCATGAATGGATTAACGCATGAAAAACGATACCAAATTCTTCAAATTTACTTTGAGAGTCAGTCATCGGTTGGCCAAACGCTTAGAAGACTTCGTGAACTTAGGTAGCCATGTATTACGGGGTTTCTTCGTATTTAATTCTTTGTTCTTTTCAAGGGCCTATTACCTGAATGAGGGCCCACTGTCTGAACAAGGGCCCACTGCATGAACGACGGCCTAATTCAACACTGTACCCAGGTCCTGTGATGTGACGCCCCTAAATTATTTTCTTTTGGGCTGTCAAGTCAATAGTTTATGCCGATAAAACAACTGAAGGACACGACACACAAAGTGTTCGGAAAAGTCACCCAAAATTGGACCAGCTGCGGTAGTCACATGCAGCAAATAATTTTTTCTACGATCACTATCGAAAGTACCAAAGTAACACAGAAAGTTATATAAGGGTTATATCGACGTTGCAACAACTTTTCTAAAAACTCAACAATTTACATATTCTAATAACCGTTATTATATATTATTATGCGACTTTTGAAGGATGGTTTGGTAATACTGTATTCAACCCTAGAAAGTTTTGCCAAGCAATTTTTTGAAATTAGAGAATGATGCTGACCCCAAATTAAATTATCATAATGTAGGTAAGTTTACATTGATTTCAAAATTGTTTAATACACAGACTTACAAGATACTGATAACGAATAGTGGTGATAGAACTGGTTTATTTTATACAGAGTGTTTTGAAATATGGCTAAGTTCATTTTAAGCTATTGCATAGCTTTTATCGCGGGCTTTGAGCGCGGCGACCGAATCAAGAAATTTCCGCAACGACCGTAACGAAAATAACCTAACACCCCCCACACCCAAAAAATTATTGCTTGGCAACAATGTAATATTTTTTAAAAACATTTTAGGGGTGAATACAGTATTATCAAACCATTCTAAAAATAAAATAAAATACAGGGTGTTCTATTTAAAAAAACAAATTATTATTTGTCAGGCTAAACGCAACACCCTGTATATCCAAAATTA